CCCCAAAACCCCAAAACCCCAAAACCCCAAAACCCCATTCATCATTAATTTATAGAAAGCTATAATTTAAAAATGGCATCTCCTAAAAATCGTGAAAATTTAGCCCCAGCTACAAAGACAGAGTTTGACGTGAAAAGCTTTATAGCACCCCTCCAGCCAAACATGATCCGGAAGAGAAGGATGTCGAGGAAAAGTATTGGTGAACCCTTCAGTAATCAGTCCTTTAATCCTTAGAAAACCCCAGATTCTCTTATTCACAGAAACAAGTCGATGACAGGTAAAAATTTCAGAAAATTTTCAGTCAAAATTTCTATTTTGGGGCCTCAATTTCATTGCCTGTTTTATAGCAACAAAAGTTTAAGCTCTTCAAATTCAGTTCTGCTGAAATAAGGATAATGACACTGAGAGAATGAAGGACTATAGTGAGCATCCTTGCTTTGAGAATTGGAAAGTTGAATAATGTGCATAACTCCTCTATAGAATTCAACAGCTACAAAAGGATGAACAACAGAGTTGGAAGAGAATTACTCAGGTCGATTAAGCAGAAAGATTTTGGAATCACGTAGGACGTTCTAAATATCCCATAGAAGAATTGTACCTGAGAAGAGGATCGAAGATAAAATAAATTATTATTACAAACCACACCACAAATAAATGCCATCTTTCCAACCCTGAAGATATAGACTATGAAGAAGGTATTAGCTATTTCTGATTAGTCATAGCTGAAGCTGGGAATTGCCTCAATTTATCCCAAAAGGCTAGCAAATAAATGGATAGATATCGCCAACCTTGTACTTAAGAGTGATAAATAAAGAACTTCGGAAATGCTTGAAGATGATGAAATATGGGTTATTCCAAAACTACAAGTAAATTCTCATCAATATTTCAGGAAAGTCAAGGATATCCAGAGACAAGATGAATACATAAGAAACCAAAAAATTGAAATCACTAAGAAATTAATGGCTTGAAACAGCATCATCGATTCGAACAAAGGTAAATTTTATGACTCCTCTTAGAATGTATATTGACATCCCATGTTGGATATATTGACCCAGTCATTCCTAAGTCAGCTATGGATGAAGAAAGCTCAGAAGAAGGCATGACTCAGACCATTAGGTCTTTCCTATCTCGTACCAGGAGTAAAAATAAGTACGATCAGACCATAATTTTAGACAAAAAGAAGTTATTTTTCAAGTGGCACCAGGTAGCCCTGAGGCAAAGAAATTATTCAGTAAGCGTTGTCCAGTTATATTCAGAATCTCCAAGAAGCAAGTTTAGGAAGAGAGTAATCTTCTAGCTAATAAGTAGTTCCCTCAGTACAAGTCAATAAAGCATTTTAAAAGATTCTCCAAATTTCTGAGGTGAGGGTTCTGAAATTTCTGAATTATGTCATTTTTATTTTGGAGCTTATGTAATGAAATTTCAAGATACTTTCTGATGGAAATTTAGGAAGAAATTTTAGAAATTGGTGTAAAAACTTACTTTTAGGGAGAAGCGAAATTCTTCGAACCTATTCCACCTCCATAAAATGGGCTTAAACTCGGTAAGGGATCAGGATAAACTGTCCTAGAGGAACTTACATGGAGCAATTGACTTACCAGGCATAAGATCATGTGATTCTAATGTAGGTCATTTGTAGAAACAACTTGCATAGGAGTTTAAATTATTTTTCTCAAGGTCAAGTCTTAGCAAATAGCTCAAGGGCTTCGAGTAAAGAAAGAAATCTTACATCAAGGAGAATTAATAATATCCTTGTCTCTACTTTCAGGTATTGGGAAGAGTAGCATATATAGCCAAAGAAATGAACTTGACCGTGTCAGCAGAGAATCTTCTGCTAAAAAGAAAAAGTGCTCAAAGGAGCATGTAAAAATAGAGTAAATTTTTAATAATTCTTTAATAGACAAGGATTAGCTACAGAAAGAAGAGCTCCAAATAAAAAATCTGTTGTACTCGCTAGTCTTTATATATTTTAGAAATCACCTCTTAAGCTCTCTAAACTACCCAGGCCTCATCCAGAGAATGCCATAAAGGTGCCTAAGAGGTTGATAAAGCAGCGTTCACCCTCTAACAGCCACATGTAAGCTCATACCTCACCTCTAGTCCACGTACATCCTTATCTGTGTCCCATCTGCGTAACATTTATTGTCATCAAAATATCAACTTGTAATTTTCGAAAAGGGGTTTTGGGGTTTTGGGGTTTTGGGGG